CCCCCCCCCCCCACACACATAACATGTCCCATTTCCGCTTTATTATGTTGATTTCTGTTATATATTTCTATTTGTACATGATTTAACTGTACAGGTATATATATGATTGTCGTGTCCTAGCCTTGTCACTACTTCGTCGAGGTTAGGCTCGACACTTACTCAGTACATGGGGTCGGTTGTACTGATACTATACTCTGTACTCTTTTGTACAGATTTTGGTACCGGACCCGATGAGTAGGTGAGGTAGCTGCCTTCAGTCCAGGGAGACAAAGGTAGATCTGCTAGCGTCCGCAGAGCCTAAAGTCCCCCTCCCCTACTTTAGTTTTTTTGCTGTCTCTTTCATTCTGAGAACAGTTGTATCTTTCTTTCCAAACCAATGGTTGTAGTAAAAATCATAGATGTTCGTGATATTGTGACACCAGATTCATGGGTAGACATGTATTGAAGTACTTGGACTTATTTTACACTTCTGCGCTTTTCATTTGTTTAGTTATAATTACTGTTTATCACTGTTTAAGGTTGAATGTTAATGTGTAGAACTGTAACAATTGGCTTGCCTAGCTTTCACGCCATCACGACTCTTGAGGGTGAAAAATCCGGGTCGTAACATTATCTAAATTATTACATATTTGAACCTATTGTGCTTTTTTATCTTCTAACCGCGTTCAATTATTCAGTTAACCGCTTTTAGTATTTGTGGTATTATTTCTGGAACAAATTACGATGTTGTACATTTGTCATTTTGGTACACGCCGCGTCACATGAAACGCACCTGCGATTTACAACATATTTATTTTTATTACTATTCAAAATTATGGTCTGGTCACATAAAATGCACACCCGAATTTGAATTCATGTATCATGACTCTGTCACGAGAACCGTACCCATAGCCACGATGATTTATTTAATCGTACCTAAATCAAGCTACGATGTTCATGATTATCGTCCTAAACTAATTTGAGATTGTTGTGAAGGCCATAAGTTTGGGAATCAAAATTAGGTTAACTTCTAATTTCAAATCTATATAATTCATTATACCACTTCACGATCAAATCAACGAATTCAACAATGGACTACTTACTCTTTTGGTTCAATCAAGCCAAATAACCCTCGGGAAAAAGAGAAGAATTGAAGGACACAATCATCGAAATGAATATTAATGCAATTGTTTGTCAGTTGTCATCTACTATAACTATAATGACATTAGTGTTCTTGGTAGGACATATTCACATCATAATAAATTTCAAACAATGGCTTAGTACAATACTTGGTGTAGGATAGGAGAAAATAACATTAATTATACTTCAAAAGGATCAGCAGCTTGTAATGAAGACATGGCAAATGACTCCTAAATGTCAATCTCAACTTAATAAGAAGTAAAGCAGCCCAAAGTTTTTAACTAGCTAGGCGTTTTGGACAATATTTGAATCGAAGTAGGAAAAAACATAGCACTTGAAGCTAAAAAGTGTTGTGGAAACCATTTTCGTTTAGATATGAACTTCACTTGAAATTTTCTTTTGCAAAAATAAAAATTTGTGAGTGAAAAATCTGTTTCACTTGAAATATAGCCTAAATCAATATTTCAGTTGAAATTCAAAGAAAATACTTCTAATTCGCGTAATCAATATCCTTTAATTTAATTACTTTAACTAATCTGACAACCAATCATTTGAATTCCAAACAAAATTTGATTAGAGCAATTTCATATTCGGAAAAAAAAATCATCATTGCACAAACAAATTAAATAAACTTCCAAGAATATATTGAGCAAACTAACGAGATAGAGGAAAAGAATAGACCTCAAGCAGAATGTTGTCTTCACTATTATAACTAAAATAGCCTCCTCAAACAACAAACTTGATCCACGATCGACGACACTCAACGGAGGACCCCACTGAACTCGAACTCCCTCAGAACAAAAGAACCCAGACAAAACTGAAGTGGAGCCCCTGAATGACGACCACTGACAACCTCGAAGCCTACTAGAAGTATCGAACTAAACCAGAATGACAAAAACTAAACTCCAGCTGGTTTTTGAGTTTCTTTGGGACTGATTTTGGGTTGTATTGGTATGGTTTTATGGGCAAGAGGGCTGGTTTGGGGTCGCGCATTTTAGATCTGTTAATCCAGCAAATCAGAAAAAAATCCGAAGAAGAGATGAAGCCTGAGCAATTTGCTATGAAGGAAATTCAGAACGAGTTAACAAGAAAACAACTAGATGTGCCATATTATCGTGAGCTTGATGAGTCTATTTTGTTAGATTTTGGTCGAAGGTGGTGGTTGGCAGCGATGAGCAGCCGGTGGGGGGAGGTGGACTGGCGGCAGCTATGGAGATTGGGGTCTTAGGTTGGAGAAGATAGACCTAGGGTTTTTTTGGTGTTGAAGATGAAAAACGGCTGGGTTAGGTGTTCTCATGTTCATTAGAGATTAGGGGTCCTCTAGAAGGGTCTCAGGGTTAGCTTAGTGGGTATTGGATATTGGACTTATCCGAAAATTGGGCTTAAAAATAGATTGTTTGAGCCCAAACTTTATTCTTTCTCATTGAACAAGACTAAAAATACTACCTCATTTACTAATTAATCCTACTTAAGTAAAATAATTATTAAAGTAAAACTAACCGTTAAAATAAACCTATTTTTGGTATTTTTTAAATATCATACTAAAAGATAAAAATGGAATTAGATTAAAATCATTGCAAAATTAAAATAATATTCCTACCAAACTACTAATATTCCTGAAAACAAAGTGGAACATTTTTGTTTTTTTAAATTTTATGAAAGGTAGGTAAACTAAAAGTAAAAAGATAAAATATCAATTACCTAAATAAAAGAAATTATTTTTTGTAATTTTTATTTTTGTGACAAAATAAAGTAAAAGAGTCAAAACTAGTTGAAATAGCGATATTAGGCCTAGATTAAATATTTAATTGCTAAAATATGTAAAATCTTGGGGAGGGTCAAAAATTACATGTCTACACCATCATCCTTGCTTGCTGTTCAAAAGCACACTTCTCTTCAGCTAAACTTCTTTTTCCAATTGAAGACCCTTGTATTCTTCCTTCTAGTTATCCGTTTCAGTACGATAATCATTGACTAGCTGTTCAGTGTGAACAATTCTTTTCTTAAGCTCAGTGCCTATCAAGTTGATCTACAAAAGAAAAGAAAGAAGCGATTGTCAAACAAAAGTAAATAACCACGAGGAAAAGAAAGGAAAAAGCTAAGACTTGAACCTTCAAAGATGAATGAACAATATCATTCATCCATGTCAAGGAGTTGTGTTCCAACTTTGACTTCTCAATTGTGCCAAGTAGAGGTTTCAACCATACGTCGGCTTGACCAGATTTTTTCAACAGATTACCAACTTCAGGAACTTCTATGGTAACCTTTTTCATCACCCTATTGCTACTAGAAGTACCAACTTCAACATGAGAAATAGTAGCAACATGGACAGTTGAGGAAGTGAAAGCAGCCACGGGAGTAGTAGTAGTAGAAACAACAGGAACGGTAGATTGAGAACGAATGAGGACTGACATTGGAAGAGGGGCAAGGGGTAATTCTTCAGAAACGGGACCAAAATCTTCACTATCAAAACCACGGGAAAATAGCCGACCAGTAGAGTCAAAAGGGGGAGGATTCATATCTTCATCAGAACTCACTAAAGAAGCATCTTCAGGCTCATTCACAGGAACTGAACTTGGAGGAGGGGTGGCTTCATCATTTGAAATAATGTGCCTCCTAGCCCGATGCCTACACACTAATGATCCCTCTTCTTGTTCCTCTTCACCTTTAGAGCTACGGGCTTCGTCTAATTTTCTCTTCGATGAAGAGCTCAGAATCCTTTCTTGAGCAAGACTCACCGTGAGTCTTGCTGATGAAACAGAAGCGGGGCTAACACCACTAATGGAAAATCCTAATAAAAGAAAAGAGTCACGGCGAGAAACTTTAACAAAAGAGAAAAAGAAGAAGATTAAGCAGGAAAAAGTACCGTGTGTTTTAACTTTTCACCCAAATCTCTAAGAGAGATACTTCCAAGATCTTCTCTCCATAGGGGCAACTTTCCTACCCAAGCACGAAAGTTGAGGATTTCCTCAAAAACTTTCATAGCTGCTGAAAAAGTAGGCACGAGTATACACGAGAATATTTTTTGAAGAAGGAAAAAGATAAAAATGCAAATACTGACGTGCAAAATTCCACTTTTCTGGAAAAGACATATTTTTTTACCCTACCAAAGCAATAGTGGGAGCAGCAATGAAGCGATCATACCAGCCTCGATCTCTATCATCCTCGGGGCTAACTAATACTCTCTTACTTTTGCCCATAAGGGAAAAAACTCCTTCACGAAATAGCTTGGGTGAGTAAAGATGGAGTAGGTGACGAAAAGTAAAAGGCATAGAAGCCAAGTTTGATAAATAACGGAGGCATGTAACAACTCTCCAAACAATAGGACCAATCTGTCATAAACACACATTGAAATAACGACAGAACTCAATGATTACCGGGTCAATAGGAGGTTTAAAACCTAGGGTAAAAGGGTATGTATAAATGAAGGAATAACCAGTTTAGTATGAAGTTATTCTTTGGTTAGAACCATGGACTAAAATTGCGAAGTCGGGTTTCCAATTACATTCTCTTCGAACCAGAGCGAGAAGACCAGTGGTAATCAGAGTTGAGTAACAATCGACACGATCAAGGGAAGCAGCCATGGAAGAGATTTGATTCTTCATGGATTCACTATCAGTCATAAAGGATAGCTCTTGGGGAACAATTTCATCAACAGTGGGTTCACGTAAAGCTTCAGTTGAATCTTTATCTTTAGAAGAAAATCTTGGAGTTGCAGAAGTCCTAGGTCTAGAAGAAGATGGATTGACAACACTACTTTGAGAGCGGGAGCCACAGTTAGAAATAGAATCGAGGCTACGCAATCTACCACCTCTTCTACTTCTACTAGGTACATTTGAGGAAGCAAATTCATCGACAATGATGACTTTGCGAGGATCAGGGGAAGCCATAATTAACCAAAGAATCACAAGAAAAAAAATATAGAAAGAAGTAAGACAAGAAAACGAAGAAGGAAAAGCTTTAGAGAATCGGAAAAAAGGGATGAAGTATTTATAAGAAGACACGACTATTGAGGTCATTATGAAGGGTCATAATGGAACCGTCCCTTCATGACTGATGCGGTTGCAGGAAAACTCTGAAAGAAGCTGAAGAATAGAAAGACCAGTTGATAAAAGCCGCGTGGCATGATCATTAAAATGAAAAGTGATGAGTGTCACATCGGTTCAGAAAAGGGTAATATTCAAGAAAGTGGAGGGACTATCTGTATTGGTAGTGAAAAAGAGCTATACGTTAAATATTAGACTGCTGACATGGCATAACGCGTGGAACAATGATACAGTGACACGTGGCAATCTTATTTGATGGAAAAAGAAAAGGCGCGAGGAGAGATACCCACGAGAAGGTACCAGGCTTAACAACTGGCAAAGAATGAATAAATAGTAGAAAAAGGAAAGATACATGGACCGCAAATAAATAAGGAAGGAGAATCGTAATAGATGTAAGACATTTATAGCAATAAATGCATCGGTTATGAGAATCCAAAATAATGGGCAATCAACATCATTAATGCCCATAATTAACCCAAATTATGGGGAAAACCCGTTGCTATTATATATTCATATATAAGGGCGCAAAATTCTATTTGTAAGGACACATCTAAGACAATATTGAAATATACACTTTATTTTTCTGCTTTCTCGAAATTTTCTGCTTTGATCTTGCAATTAATTATTTCCTTATTTATTCTTGTTATTTTCCTTTGATACTGTTGAGAAAGTGAAGCTAAATGTGTTTATCGGTAACCCATTTTCTTCTAAAATTAGACTTTGACCGAAAGATATATAATTTGGTTAAACAATGTGGTAAACAATGGCAACTCATGAGTGTCTAGAAAAGTAGGGTTAAAGACATAATCGGTTTCCATTGTCGGTACAATTTCTTGGGGTAACTTGGTGGAGTCATCAAAAAGTTGATCTGATCTTGTCATTATAGAAAAGGCCAAGGCTTTAAGCCAATTGTTACCTGTTTTTGGAAAACTTCAAAGGAAAATATCTGAAGATTCTGCCTTGAACACCTCTGATAAAAATGTAATTCCTTCTAGGAGGATAAAAGGAAACTAAAAACAATGGTATTGGCAGAGTTCATAAGGAGGATAGGGAGTTTCTCGTTTAGGGAGGGTTGATATTATCTCTTTGTATTTTATGATTATTTCCTTGAAATTTCCTAATCCATAATTGGCAGTTAAGCGACTAGCTTTGGAATGGGAAAATGATTTCATTTTCTGGAATGGGCGAAATGGAAGTATCTAAAATTAGAACCTGATATTTTAGGAGACAGCTTCTCCATTTATATAGAGGAAGAATTTGTGTAAATTGCAATTTGCAATTGACGTTCAAGTCCCATCCACAACTTTAATAACACAAGATTATTTCTGATAATTTATCAGATTTGAAATGGTAAACAGAAAAATGATTGTATGTAAGTCTTGTCATAATAGAAGGGATTTACCTTTAATTAATCGATACAAAATTTTGCTGAAGCTCAATTACACGGAAAAAATGACTATGGATCTAAGTATACAATTCAATGCACCAATTATGCACAAAGGTAGAAGGAATTGTTGAAATGTGTATGGTTTTAAAAATAGAAAAGAAAGAGTAGTATCATGATACAGATTAGAAAGTCAAGCAGTAGAAGTAGCAATGTACATTAGAAGTCAATGTCCATCTAACAGTGGCAATTTTTTTTTACATAATTTAAATATAAGCCTAGTATTCAAAATCAATTTAATTCTCATCCTAGTCCGGCATTACATGTTTAATTCTCAAAAGTTATTCAAACTAATATAAATAATTTGAATCATAATCAAGATTGTGCAAGAATAATTTTGACGGATTTTGAATCTTTGTGCGTTTAGGTTCCTTTTTAGTTATGTTGCTCTTCACTTGGTAAAAATCATTGAGAAGATCATCTAAGCCGATTACCTTTTTCCCATAGTATACAAAGTTGAAATAAAAAGAAAATATAAAAGTCTTACCGATTGCCTCATGAGTCAACTCTTATTGCACTTCCAACTACTTTGGTTACAAATTTTAACTGGACAACCCATCTCTTGATTTCCTAATGTGATTTAGAAAGTAAACGGTGGCAACTTTTGGTGGTAACAACGTTACAAACAGATTATGAAGTGTTGGTAATCTTTTTTTAATTAAATAGGATATTTAATTGAATAGAAATGGTCTCTTGATTTTGAAATGCGAAGGAACACGTTTGAAAAGTTATTTTTGCTATTATGAAGGACCACAACCGGCCTTCAATTCAAGGCATCGTTTTTTTTTTAAAAAAAAATAATAAATAGTTCTATTCTAATGGCCAGATAATTTTTTAAAAAAATTAGTTACTAATAAAAAGACACAACTATTTAGAAAAGGCACAATATATATTAATATTTTTAAATAATATTCTAATTATAAGTATAAATATAAATATATATTATTAGAAGGGTAATTTGGTAATTTAACTTTTTAACTGTGGACTTCCCACTTTTAATATAGTATAGATAGATAAAATGTCTTCTTATTTCAACCTTCCGTATCTTTTTACGTGATAGGTCCATATGCTAATGCCAACTACATGCTTAATTATGGGAGGTTTTATTGAAGCCTAAATAATTAATCGTTCTAATTTATGTGAACATGTTTGACTGGGCATAGAGTTTAAGAAAAAATGAAGGCTTTTGGAATTTGTGATCCTAAACAAGTCAAAAAGGGGCCACGAGTATTTATGTGGTTATAAAAGTTTCTCATTAATGGTAGAATGGTAAGTCTATGCTAGATTATTTTCAAATTTTAAAAGGGGTCATTCTAATTGGAACGAACTAAAAAGGAAATAGATTCACGTAAAATGGAACGGAGGAAGTATATAATTGTGCAATAGTGTTCACGAAACAGATTGGCAAGGACCCATGTGAACCTCCCATAATTGAGCACATTAGCATATAGAAGCTGTCTATATCACGTAAAAAGATATGAAAATATTACGTTTGGCTTTAACTAAAATCAATTATACAGTAGCTGCTTAATTAATGAATATAAAATAGAAGAAAAAATTCAATAGAGGATCACCTTTTATCTTTCCGACTTTAAATTAAGTGGTAATCCAGATCGAAATATCAGTTCGCAGCAGCAAAAACTATCGACCAACCTTAATTGCTCCGGGCGTCCATTTTACTTGGACACTTGCAAAAGCTGGTTTTTTGTGCAGTAATACTCGAGAACCAATCTAAATGGAATACAAACGAAAATAGGAGTAAGAGACGGGCAGATCTACCTTAGCCCAAACGGTATCATGTGAAATTGCTTGCAACGCTGGCTTTATGGTAAAAAAAGTAAGACACTTGCCCCATTTTTTAGCAATATTATTGAGTGTTTTTAGTAGGAAAGATAATTTTATTACATGATGAATAAACCATCAAATCAGAATAATTATTATGGGATGTATGAATAGTTGTAAATTTTTTACACTCTTTCTTATTTTACCCAAGTCACAAGCTTTCTTTTCCCTCCTCTCGTATGATTATATACTTTCTCTTTTATTTCTTTCTTATTTTTTTTTCTCCAAGAGTTTAAAAGTTCAATTCAAAAGTTTTTGTGGTAAATATTTGAGATTATTAGATGACGAGAATTTAAAAAAATAATGTCATAACCTTGAATATTTCTTAAGATATAATAGTAACTCTAATATTGATGAATTAAACTTATTTTTAAAATTAAAGTGTTATGGAAAATAATAAGCAGAAAATAACTCGACATAAGCATTTTTCTTTTATGTCTTACAGAGAAGCTATCTTGGAAAATCTACCTTCCTCAAAAAATTTGTTATTATGTGAGATATTTAACTCTTACAGCGAGTTGACTGAATATTTAGCGTAACCACATTTCACAATTTCATGATAAAGAATTGAAAATCAAAACAATATGTCCCAAATATAGTATTTTATTGCAAACCAGTACTAAACTGCACACACCAATGACACAAGAGAATCAAAGAAGAAAAATTAAGGAAATACAGAAACGATAATACCAAAAGCAATCTTCTTAATTCACTACTCCCTTAATCTTTTGCATTGTTCTTGCACTCATTTGTTGAAACAGGGATCCATGTAAAGCCCAAAGATTGGAATTTTTCGTGCGTTATGTGGTCAACTGATTTTGCCATATCCTCAGTCAAAAGATTCTTCCAATCTCCTATTTCTCCTTTTCGAAAAAACGCACTGTTCTTGACTCTAAAAGTATTTGGGTGAATCCAGCCGCTCTTATTCACCTCTAAATTGCTCAAACTTTCAAAATGACAGCGTGCCACTATTTTTTCAGCTACCCCTTGATTCTCTTCCTCTGTAGAGAATGGTTTACCCATGAATTCCGCCAATTTCTTTACATAGCACAACGTGTTGCTCTTCAAGTCTTCATACTTTAAGAAGAACACTCTCTCTGGTCTATCTACACTACTTGCTATCCAGTAATCCAAAACATGGTTCCAGTACGGTCCACATGACGATTTGCCTTCACAAAACCACTTGAATTCCTGTTCGAATGGAACAACCTCTGCTTTGAATGCATCGGCGCTTTCTTTAACCTTTTGCATGTAATGCCACCAAGAAACAAAAGTGTCTTTTGGTTCCCTACATATGTAAATGATTTTGCAATCAGATTCTAATATAGATGGTGGTAAGCAAGTATAAGGGAGATGTGTAGCCAACAACGGGAACTCTGTTTCTACTAAAGTAGGATTCGTGAAACTGTCAACTTCAACAGTCGGCACGCACTCGTGGGGTTGCTTGGTTAGCAAAGGATTTGTGGAATCATCATCAGAAAAACGATCTCTGGTTATAATGGAAAAGGTCAAGGCTTTAAGCCAAGTGGTACCTGTTTTTGGATAACTGCAGAGGAAAATATCAGAGGGTTGAGCCTTGAAGTTTTCTTGCATGGATAAAGTTTGTCTTAAGTAGCGAAAAGGGAACCAGAAGCCTTTATATTGATAGTGATCACGACAAGGATAGAGGGTTTCTCGTTTGGTAAGGGTTGATATTATCTCTTCGAATTTCATGCTCATCATTTTCTCGGAATTTTCTGATCCATAATTGGCTGATAAGCGACTAGCTTTGGAAGAGAAAGAGGAGCTCATTTTTTGGTCAAAGAAGTAATTCAAGAATTTAAAACTTTGATCCTGATTGTAGACAACTTCTCCATTGACATATATATACTAGAAGAGATTTTTCATAAATTGCAAATAAGCCCTATTTCATTTGAGTTTTAAGGTAAGCTGAATCAATTTACCTTTTTGGCATTTGAACTCTGTTTCTAATTTATTGGCGAAAAAAAGGGTTGGTTGCTAGGTTACTGCTCCAATAATATGTAGTTGACTATCATTTAAATACACTCTTGTGATTCAGCAGGCATTTAAATATCATTCTAGAATATGTATATTAGGTATATTGACAATCTCTCAAAATCGATCTGAATGGATTAAAATAGTTTTTATTGAAGCTAAATAATAATCTAAACAATTAATTAATATAGAGACTTACACTTATTTAATAGTGATAAGGAAACACATTGGCAAGGGCCCATGTGAAGAGTCTATTACTCAAATGCTCGCTCAACTATCTCAAATTATATGCTAAAGTCACTTTTGTTTCATTTGTAACAACAAAGTCACTTAAGTATGCTTATAGCACTGAGAAAGTCATTCAACTAGATTTTTCAAATTTTTATTGTCAAATGCCTATTTTATCCTCTAAATTATCAGTTTTTTTTAACTTTTTAGATATTATAATTTTTTCTCTTTTTAATCTACATTGTGGACTTAACTATAGAATAAATATATTTATTTATAAAATAAAAATTGATACATTAGTTTTTAGCTCATATAATGACGGAATAATAATATAATTAATTTTCAAGAATATATAATGTATATTATAAAAATGCCTTTATTTAAATTATTATATTTTACAACCTTTATTTTATTTTATTTTATTCTCAATTGTGTAAATAAGTTTTTGAATTTTTTTTAATATTAAAATTATTATTACGGACAAATTATTCTAAATAATTTTTTTGCTATGCTCATTATTTTGATATTCAAGCATTATATATGCTTAAATATTTTTCATTTTTTTAATTTATAAATAAAATTTATTATTCTATAGGTTCCATAATATAAATTAAAAGGGAAAAGATCATAATATTAAAAAATTTAAAAAATAAATAAAAAGAAGATAAATGTTTATAATTTAGAGAGTAAAATAGGTATTTGGCAATCCAAAATTTAAAAATCTAGTTGAATGACCTTCTGAGTGCTATAGACATAATTAAGTGTCTTTGTTGTTACAAACGAAAGAAAAATGACTCTAATAGATAATTTGGGATAGTTGAGTGACCATTTGAATAATGGACTCCTCATGTGAACCTCCCATAGTTGAACATGTAGTTGACATTAGCATATAGAAACTGTCTTTATCACGTAAAAAGATATGAAAGTACTACACTTAGCTTTAATTAAAATCAATTATACAGTAGTTGCTTAATTTATGAATATAGAGTAGAAGTGGAGGCGTAAGCAACGATTTTTATAAGCGGTGTCGAGATTTATAAAAGAACGAGAATAATAACTTTAATTATCATACAAAAAATAGGCTCTGTTGGTTTTGTTGAGTTTTAAGCTAGAAAAGGTTCCGAATTCAATTTTACTTTATCCCGAATTCAATTTTACTTTATCACAATTTTTAACTACAAGACTCTCTCAAATATTTACAAAAAACTGTATTAGTTGAGGTTCAAACCTTTGACCTCTTATAAAAAAATCAAGTACATAACCAACACGCCAAGAGACAATTTGTGATGACCCAAAAGGTCATCACTTGTTTTTAAAATGAATTCTTCGTTCCGACTCGATTTGCCTGCGCAGCCCGGGCGCGTAGCCGGAAAGCTATTATATGAAAATCTGTGAAAAATGATGAATTTTAACTGTAAAATGGATTTAAGTTGACTTCGGTCAATATTTTGGGTAAACGGATCCGAACTCGTGATATGACGGTTCCGAGGGTCCGTAGGAAAATATGGGACTTGGGCGTATGCCTGGAATCGAATTCCGAGGTCCCAAGCCCGAGAAATGAATTTTTAAAGAAAATTATTTTCTGAAATTATTTCTGAGTTTTGAAAATAAAATGTGCTTAAAACTCGATGGTATCGGGCCCGTATTTTAGTTCCGGAGCCGGTACAGGTCTTATATGTAATTTAAGATAAGTCTATGAAATTTGGTAAGAAACAGAAGTCGTTTGAGGTGATTTGGACCCGTAGTTGTGAAAATTCATACTTTGAAGGTTTTGAGATTTTTCTTAGATTTCTATGCTAAATTCGTTGTTTAAAAGGTTATTTTGGCAATTTAATCGCATGGATAAGTTCATATGATGTTTTTGAGTTGGTATGCATGTTTGGTTTGAAGCCCCGAGGGCTCGGGTGAGTTTCGGATAGGTTTCAAAAAGTTTTGAACTTGGAAAAAGTTGCAGGTTTTTGCTGCTCTCAGTGCACAGAGGTTTTGTGTTTCACGTTCGCGTGGTCCCACTCGCAAACGCATAAGGCAAATTTCTCAAGTGTCAATTTGTTCTTCGCGAACGCAGAGCTTGGGATGCGAACGCGAGGCTGTGGGGGGAGTACCCTTCGCGAACGCGTCCAGGCACTCGCGAACACGTAGGCTAATGGCCTGGGCAGGGGGAAGGGAATCTTGTGCTACGCGAACGCGGCCACTGGCCCGCGAACGCGAAGGCTCTAGGAGATGAAGCTCCGCGAACGCGAGCCGACGAACGCAAACGTGAAGGTCACCTAAGCCTGACACATCGCGAACACGATGAAGGCCTGTCCAGTGATTTTAAAACAGAAGCCAAAACGGGACTTAACCAAAATTTCATAACTTCTTCTTCCAAACTCCAAATTGGGCGATTTTTGAAAGAGAACATCACTACAAATCCATAGGTATGTGATAGACTCATTTTCTTCAATTTCCATTAACACGCATTAGATTTCTAGGCCTAAATCATGGTCCTAAGGGTAGAAAATTAGGGATTTGGGTAGAGTTAGGGCTTCTTGCATAATTAGGATTTAGACCTCATTTTGGGGTTGGATTTCGGAACTAAATACATATTCGGGCTTGTGGGTGAATGGGTGATCGGGTTTTGGTCCGAACCTCGTATTTTGACCAAGCGGACCCGGGGTCGATTTTTGACTTTTTGGGAAGAATGATGGGAATTCTACAATTGAGCATTGGAATTGGATTGTTTAGCGTTTATTGATGTTGTTAAATCAATTTGGACTAGATACGAGTTGTTTGGAGGCGAATTCTAAAGGAAAAGCGGTGTTTGAGGCTTGAGTTGGCCGTGGAAGTTCGAGGTAAGTGTTTGGTCTAACCTTAGCTTGAGGGATTAGGAGTTGAGTCCTAATTTCTATATGTTACTTGTTGAGTACGACGTATAGGCATGATGACGAGTATTTATACGTTGGTGTCAAGCATGATCGTGAGTGTTAAATTGATATTGTTGTGTTCCGAATAAATACTATGAATGCCTAAGTTGTTGATTCTCTGAGTTGGACAAGGATTATGATTATCCTCGTGGAAATTACTTATGATTGAATATTGGTGCTAGTTGAGGTATTTAGATGTTGGAACAAGTTTGGTTATAGTTGATTTTCCCTTGCCGGATGTACTTACTTATACCGTCGATTCCTTGCCGGGATAGTGTTGTTTCTTTATTGGTCCCTTGTCGGGACTTTTGTTGTGATTGGTGTTGAACTTTATATGTAGATCGGGTTGCATGCCGCAACAATATTATATTTGGATCGGGTTGCACGCCGCAACAATATTATATTTGGATTGGTTTGCACGCCACAACAATATTATATTTGGATCAGGTTACACGCTGCAACAGTATTATATTTGGATTGGGTTGCACGTTGCAACAATAATATAATTAAATCGGGTTGCACACCGCAACAGTGATAAATGATATGGATCGGGTGGCACGCCGCAACAGAGTTATTAACTTTTGGGAACGGGTTGCACGCCGCAACAATTGATAATACGAAGTGTTCATAGATTGGTTACAAGTTCCTTATTGTTTTGCTGTAAATTCTAAATTGTTCTTATGCTTTTTCTCTTAATTTACTGTTGGTACTGATATTCCCCCGCAGCATGTACCCCCTCCCATCTTTACTTGTTTATTCTTGTTTTATTTTCCGTTGCATATTATATAACCGCACAGGTTTATTTGGTAGTCTAGTCCTAGCCTCGTCACTACTTCGCCGGGGTTAGGCCAGGCACTTACCAGCACATGAGGTCGGTTGTGTTGATACTACACTCTGCACTATGTGCAGATTCTAGAGCGCAACTTTTGGACTGTAGCATTGGGTAGCTGCCTTCAGTCCAGTTAAAGATCCCGAGGTAGTCCTGCAGGCGTCCGTAGGCCTGGCGTTCTCTTCTATCTTTATGTGTATTCTGTTTTCATTTGCTTCCGAGACAGATTTTACTTTCTTTTCAGACATTTGTATGTAGTATTCATAGACAGTCCGTGATATTGTGACACCGGATTTCGGGTAAAGATATATGTTGGCATTACCGTACTATTTATGGTTAATTTACCAGCTTAAGTCTTCCGCTTGTATCTATTCATCGTTAATATTTCACTATTAATCACATGTTAGTTTAAATTGTTAAAAAGGCTAAATAAAAGAGTTAGGGATTCATTATTACGTGGCTTGCCTAGCTTTCACGAGTAAGCGCCATCACGACTCCCGAGGATGGAAAATCTGGGTCGTGACAAGTTGGTATCAGAGCTCTAGGTTACATAGGTCTCATAATTCACGGACAAGCTTAGTAGAGTCTGAGGGATCGGCACGAAGACATTTGTATTTATCCCCCAGAGGCTACAGAGCTAGGAAAAACTTCACATTTATTCTTTCTTGTCGTGCGATTTGGTTTCTCAATGCTAATTGAATTTCTATTATGTTCTTTTGCAGATGGCGAGAACACGCACTTCCTTATCCACCGATCAGTAGCCCGAGACCCCAGCAGCAGCTCCCATGAGGGGCAGAAGGAGAGGCCGAGGTAGGGGCAGAGCTCAGCCCAGAGCAGTAACACCATCATCAGAGCCTCAGGTTGACTTTGATGATGAGGTTCCAGCCCAGACAGTTCTGGTGGGCCCATCTCAGGTCCTAGAGGAGTTTATTGCTAGCCCAGTACTCCAGGATGCTCTGGTCCGTCTAGTGGGCCTTATAAAGAGCAGGTTTGCTTCCTGTAGCACCAACCGTCTCTCAGGTTGGAGGAGGAGCCCATACTCTAGCTACTCGCACTCCGGAGCAGATGGCTCCCCAGTTTCAAACTCCAACAGCTCATCCAGTTGGAGCAGTTTAGCCGGGTGTGGTAGCCCAGACCGACGATGAAGCAGCTATGTTCGTCGATGCTTTGTGGAGGTTGGACATGTTCACCAAGCTCTTCACTACTACTTTCAGCGGTGCATCTTCTGAGGATCCCCAAGATTATCTAGACAGCTGTCATGAGGTTCTCAGGAACATGGGGATAGTGAAGACCAATGGGGTCGATTTTGCTACTTTTCGCTTGTCTGGATCCGCCAAGACTTGATGGAGAGATTATTGCTTGGCTAGACCAAACAGATCACCAGCCTTGACTTGGGAGCAGTTTACCCAGCTATTTATGGAGAAGTTTCTCCCTATTACTCAGAGAGAGATCTATTAGAGGCAATTTGAGCGTCTCCAGTAGGGTTCTATGACTGTTACTCAGTATGAGACCAGATTCATCGACTTGGCCCATCATGCTCTTATCATACTTCCTACTGAGAGAGAGAAAGAGAGAGAGAGAGAGAGAGGGTGAGGAGGTTCATTGAGGGACTTATCCAGCCTATTCGACTTTAGATGGCCAAGGAGACTGGGAGTGAGATATCTTTCTAGGAGGTGGCCAATGTGGCCAGGAGAGTTGAGATGGTTCTATCGCAGGGGGGTTGGTCAAGGGTCTGACAAGAGGCCTCGTCATTCAGGCTGATTCAGTGGTACCTTGTCTAGAGGCAGAGATTTGTATGGTAGAGGCCATCCGCCTAGGCCTTTTCAGTCAGCCCTTTAGGTTTCTCTCGGTGCTTCAGGTGGCTATGGCTCTCATATGCAGTATTCTGATCAGCACCCCTATAGTGCACCACCAGCTCCTATCAGTGCACTGCCACTCCAGAGTTTTCAGGGTGGTCATTCAGCTCGCCCGGGTCAGTCTCAGGTTTCTCAACCGCAACATTCAGGTGGATGTTTTGAGTGTGTTGAGTATAGTCGTATACGAAGGGCTTGTCTGAGATTGGTGGGTACTCAATCGCAGTAGTAGGGTTCCCGTGCTATGGTTCAGGCACCAGGTGTTCCGCCGCCCGCTCTGCCAGCTAGGGGTGGGGGTAAAGGTGCTAGAGGTGGAGGTAGAGGTAGAGGTGTTAGAGGTGGAGATCAGACCGCTAGAGGTAGAGACCAGCCGGCTGCAGGCCATCCCAGAGATGTCGTTCAGGGTGGTAAGGCCCAGCCCCGATGTTATGCTCTACCAGCCAGGCCTGAGGCTGAGGCTTCCGATGCAGTTATCACATGTACTATTCTGGTTCGTGGCAGAGATGCTTCAGTTTTATTTGATCCAGGGTCTACCTACTCCTATGTGTCATCTTATTTTGCACCGTATCTGGCCATGCCTAATGATTTCTTAAGTTCCCATGTATATGTGTCTACACCGGTGGGTGATTCTATTGTGGTAGATCGAGTCCATTGTTCTTGTATAGTGGTGATTGAGGGTCTTTAGACTCGTGTAGATTTGTTGCTTCTGGACATGGTTGATTTTGATGTCATGCTAGGGATGGACTGGTTATCACCTTACCACGCTATCTTGGACTGTCATGCCAAGACTGTGACCTTAGCCTTGTCGGCTTACCTCGTTTAGAGTGGAGGGGGACTTCTGGTCATTCTACCCGTAATGTTATCTCTTATGTGAAGGCTCGGCGTATGGTCGAGAAGGGGTGTTTGGCCTATTTGGCATATGTTCGTAATTTTAGTGCCGATGTTCCTTCTATTGATTATGTGCCTGTTGTTCGTGAGATCCATGAGGTATTCCCCTCAGACCTGCCGGGTATGCCACCCGACAGGTATATTGACTTTTGCATTGATTTGGCTCCGGGCACTCAGCCCATTTTTATCCCGCCGTATCGTATGCCCCCGCCTAAGTTGAAAGAGTTGAAGGAGCAGTTGTAATACTTGCTTGAAAAAGGTTTCATTAGACCTAGTGTTTTGCCTTGGGGTGCGTCGGTGTTGTTTGTTAATAAGAAGGACGGATCGATGAGAATATGTATTGATTACCAGCAGTTGAACAAGGTTACAATCAAGAATAAGTATCTGTTGCTGAGGATTGATGATTTGTTTGATCAGCTTCAGGGTGTCAAGATATTTTAGAAGATTGGCTTGAGATCTGGCTACCATCAGTTGAGGATTAGGGCATCCTATGTCTCTAAGACAGCTTTCCGCACTTGGTACGGGCATTATGAGTTCTTGGTAATGCCATTCAGGTTGACAAATGCTCCAGCAGCTTTTATGGATTTGATGAACCGAGTGTTCAGGCCTTACTTGGATTCGTTAGTGATAGTCTTCATTGATGATATTTTGATCTATTCCTGCAGCTGGGAAGAGCACGAGCAACATCTTAGAGTGGTTCTTCAGACTCTGAGGGATAGTCAGTTGTATGCTAAGTTATCGAAGTGTAAGTTCTGGTTGAGTTCAGTTGCATTCATGGGTCATGTTGTATCGGCAGAGGGTATTCAGGTTGATCCGAAGAAGATTGA